CATCCTGTTCTCTTACACAGCTGTGAAATTCTCCACCCCTGCTCCCGCCCCTTTTATTTATGTAAGCAGGGAGAAGCTGAGCTTTCTGAAAGCATCTAGGCAGGAAAACAGTGGTTTAGAGAAGCAAGGCTCTGCCCTGTCCTGTGGGCTCCTCATTTCCATTTCTGTAATGTCCCCTGGAAAGAGCCCCTTAGGCCTGCCTTGTCACCCCGGCTTCCTTCTGGAATTGCTCCTGAAGCTCTTCTTAATTTTGTTTTATGAACTGTTTGTCCAAGATTGAGAAAATCGCTTCCCTCAGTGAGGCTTTTCAATAGACAGTGTTGCTGCTTTACAAAAGTTCTTATTTAAATTGTTCTGTGCAACTGCCCGATGTAGGGGATTGTGGAAATAGAAAATTCCGTACTTTCTCCACCTGCGAAGTCTGTGACCTTTTGCATTATCTTTGTCTCTGAAAGACCCCTTCCCACCCGCCCTTCAAGGCTGTGGCTCCTCTCGGTTTCCTGTCTTCATCTCCTGGGAGATCCCTGGTGTCCCCCTTCATTCTTGCTTTTCCTGTTTCCAGTCACGCCAGCTGCCACAAACACCCTTGCCACCCTCATCCCCCCGCGCGCCTGAGCTCACGGCTCTGCATCAGCTTGGTCTGCCCACTCTGCCGCCCAGACCCCGCGGAGATGTCAGCAGCGGAGCCTGACTCCTCGGCCTCGTCTCAGGCTGGCCTCCACCTTCGCCGCCCGCTCGCTGGAAGCCCACACTCCTCCTCCCATCGCGCCTTCCTCCGGTGCCTCTGGCAGCTTCGGGCCAGCAAAGGGAGCGCTTGCTCCTTGTCGCCTTCCAGAATCTAACCCTTGCACGAAGCCTCGTCGGACCAGACCGCCCACCACCCCTCCTTAGCACCCTGTGCTCGTGCCAACGGTCCCTCCGGGAGTCCCCTGGGAGCTGGGATTTCCCTCGGCTGCCCCTCTCAGCAGCCTGCCTGCCATTTCAGCGAGCTTGTCTTCTACCCTGCGGTAGCCACTCCCTCACCTCCACTTCACCTGCCCAGCCCCACCCCCAGGCCGTCCTCATGTTAGACTCCATTTCAGGTGTCCACCTGATCCCACACTGGACGCCATAAATAGGCAGCTCCCGGGCCTGGAGTGTGGCGCTTCCCTTCCCCCTGACTTTCCTCCTTTCCCAGCTCAGGTTTCACAGTCCAGCCATGTACTGTTCTTGCAGAGTCGCTCAACCACCCACCCCCTCACCACACCAGACTCATCTGGTTGGATCCAGCTTTCTACCTCCTCTGCACCTTGACTCCGCAGCTCTGAATGGAGAAGGCGCAGCTCGTGTGCACACTGGTCTCACTTTGCGTCCATGACCTGCTCGGCTCTCGTCCTTCATCCTAGCCAGCTGGTCCAGCCATGTGCCCTTGTTCCCAGGAAAGCTGTTAGAGCTCACCGCATTAAGACCTCGTCCTTTTTGAAATTTACCAGTGTTTGTGTGCCTCTAAGAAAAATGAGTAACGTGGTCTTGATGCTAAGATGCACCCAGTTTTGGCAACTTCAGCGTGTAGGGAACCCGCATCTTCGAAGGGCTGGGAGACGCAGTCCCTACCCTCATCTTGTCGGCTCGGCACGCTGCCCTGTCCTCATTTCCGACAGGTGCGTGCTCCCTGTCTCGCTGAGGAAATAGAAGCAATTACCAGAGAACTCCCAGAAGTTCCACAAGGATCTGGTCCATACGTGCTCTTCGCTTCTGACTCGGTATGGGTGGACTGAGGTCCTCGCCACGCCAGCCTCTGGGGAAGTGGGCCCAGCCCTCGTGCTGCATGAGACTGTGTCCTCTGTGGCAGCCTCTCCGTGGTGGCTCCTTCCCGTTGATATTACAGACTTGCAGTAATTCTTACCCGCCAGGCAAGGCTTGGTTCCCACAGCCCTTCCCAGCCCCTCGTGTCCCTGCTGTCTGTAGCAGAATTTCTCCAAAGACTTTTAGATACTCACTTCTCTAATTTCTCCTCGCGTTCTGAAAACCACTCCAGTCTGGAGATTTCCCCTGACACTCCAGTGAAAATACCCTGGACGAGGTCCAGTACTTTGAGTCCAGTGGTCGGTCCTTATCTTCCTGACCTGCTAGGTCCTTGGACGCAGCTGGCCAGTCTTCCTGAAGTCTGCTCACTCGGCTCCCGGGACCCCCTGTTCTCTCTGCTTCAGCAGTCACATCCCAGAGTTTCTGCGGGGTCATCCTCCTGGCCTCTCGCTGCTGTGGGGGTCCAGGAATGGCTCCTGGGCTCTTCTCCATAGCTGGGCTCACCCCCTTGTCATGCTTTAACTGCCGTCTCACCCTGGATTTCAGTGCTGAAACCCAGAGTCTGTGCCCAGCTTTCTGCTCATCTCCTCCCTTGGGTGCCGGAGGGCACCGCACCTGTAACACACCAGAACAAACTCCTAACCTTTTGCACACTGTTCTCCCTGTGCTTCAGCTCACCTCAGAAAGGTTAGGTTTATTAAGAGTTAATATTCCTTGAGCCATCCTCCTTAATCCTGTTTGTTCAGGCTGAAACCACCTTGGGGTCTCCTTATTTCTTCCCAAAGCTCTAGTCTAGTTTCAGCAAGTTACTTTTGCTTTGCATTTGACCTGCGCCTTGACTTCAGCTGCTCACCGTCAGTTAGCACTGAGGTCCACGTCTTCCTCTCTCCTAGACAGTTGCAGTCTTCCTCAGAGGGCTCCCTCTTTCCACCCCTCTCTGTACCACACAACCTAGCAGCTACTATGAGCCTTACTTTTTTTTTTTTTTTAAGATTTGCTTATTTATGCATGTAAGAACTGGGGTACAGGCCAGAGGTCTGGGGGGGGTGGTGAGAAGATTGAGTAGAGACCGTGGGAAGCAGAACAGGTGGATCCACTGAAATCCACTGTTGAGGGGCGCAGCGGGGAGACAGGAGAGGTCTGCTGTGTCATATGGGTCACCTCCCTGGCCAGGGATTTAATGCAGGCTGCAATGGATAGCTTCATAGTGCTGCGCTTTAACCCATTGCACCACCACAGAGAGCCTGTGAGACTTGCTTTTTGTTTTTTGGGGTTTTTTTGTTTTTTCAGATTTATTTATTGATGTATACAGAACTGAGGTACAAGCCAGAGGTGCAGGGGCCATGAGAGGCTTCACCAGAGACAGAGTGGGGAGCAGAACAGGCCGACTGATGAAGTCCACTGCTGAGGGGAGCAGCGGGCGAGAGGTCAGGAGAGGTCTGCCGCGCCCTGTGGTCACCTCCGGGGCCCAGGATCGAGCTTGCACTGAAGCAGCTGCTGCTGCCTGCAGCGCTGTGAGTGACCTAACCTGTTGTGCCACTAGGGAGGGCCGAGTCTTACTTTGAAATGTTAGGTTAGTGTGTAAGTTAAATCATGTCGTGCAGAAGAGGCCAAGGCCCCTAAAGTCAACTCCATGGCCTGTGACTGGACCCTGTGACTGGTGGCATCTTGTTCTGCTCTCCCCTTCCCCACCTGTCCCTCCCGTGCCAACCCAGCTGCCCCTCTGGCGGCCACCTGGTTGGCTCGCTGCCTCCTCACCTGCCTGTGCAGATGTCGCCTGCCCAGTGCCGCCCCTGCCACCCCACATGCACTCACCAGGCCCTCGGGTGTCCCTGCTCTGTCATCCTACCTGCCTAATCTCTCCCGGGGCTGCCGCGGGGTGCGCACTGTCGAGGGCGGCGCGCACGGCGCCTGCTCCGTGTCTCCTGCGCCGGCTGGGAGGAGCCTCGCTGAACTGCGCCAGTCAGCGCTCAGGCCTGCGGCCGCAGCATGCGCAACTTGGGGGATCAAGTAGATGAGTGCAGCCGAACCAGAGTCAAAACCTCTGTGAGTTCTCCTTGAATGTTCGCGTGATTTTGCGGCCAGGCAACTTGTTCAGTCACTTACGTGATTGTTGTTGAAAGTGATTCAGAATACATCTCAGAAGGGCTTGTATTCATAGTGAGCTATCATGACCCACACTCCTGTAGTGACTGAAGTAAACAGTTCACCTCACTAGCAAACTTTGCCTTCAGTAAATTATACTGATCTCTTGAGTTAAATTGCTAAATGTATAGCTGCTATTAGCTTTTCTCCAGAAACTGAAAGAATATGTTGTTTTGTCTAAGAAAGTCTTTGTGGAAGTTGACATTTTTACATTCCTCTTCTACTCCTAAACGTCATTGTATATGAAGCCTGAAGTGTCCTTTGTCACGATTCAGGGTTTTTATGAACAAGATACCTCAGTAAATCCAAGAAATTGCATCCTTTTCCCTTATGACTGTCCTAAGCATTCCAAACCTAAAACCACAGATGACAGAATTGAACTTAGAGCTCTTCTTTGAGCTCAGTATTCTCAAAGCGGTTTTGTTAGGGTTTCCTTGTAAAGATTCGGAATGATGGTTCAGACTTAGGAGGTTCCAAATGTAAAAAAGGAAAAATAATGTTACCTGCTGTAACCCAGACACCCGTGGCACTGTCTGTTAGTTTTCAGAACAGTCTGTTTCGTAGGCTCACTGTGGGCTTTGGGCCACTGAGGATATACCGGGTCTCACAGGTACGTCGCAGGGCGGGGCTTGGGTCTGCCTCCAGCTCCTCTGTGCACCTACTTTATCAGGGTGATTCCAGCCGCTTTGGTAAAGGAATCTGTCAGTGGCAAGAGTGCAGGGCTGTTGGCTTCTTAGAGGAAATGACCATGGACGGTAAGAAAGTTCATATTGGGAATCCGTTAAGGAAGCGGTGAGTCTAAGCCTGTTAACTCCAACTTTGAGCATTACTTTTCAGTTGTTTTTGACTGTTTATTCTTTTAAAATCCTACTGGCCTCTTAAACTTACAACAGCTCTAAAATGAAGCTACAGCTTAATCATTAACACTTGAAGCAGAGAGGGACTAAGGGTTGACTGACTCTCTACATCTTTAAAAACCCTTGAAAATTCCACCTACTCAATTCTGATTGCTCAGGGCTCTGCTCTGATTTGACAGAAGGCTCTCTCATCACCCGTGTGTATCTCCACAGTGACCCCGCCATGAAGCAGTTTCTGCTGTACTTGGATGAATCAAACGCCCTAGGAAAGAAGTTCATCATTCAAGACATTGATGACACGCATGTCTTCGTAATAGCAGAATTGGTTAATGTCCTCCAGGAGCGTGTAGGGGAATTAATGGACCAGAATGCTTTCTCTCTTACCCAGAAGTGAAAATATGAGATAGTGACCAGAATCTAGGAGTTACGAGACACCTATGTGAGAGGTCGTGACCATTGTGGCCTGTGGACTGCGTAGATTTAGCGAGTTGCCTGGAGCTTGTACCCGAAAGACCAGCTTCCTTCAATGTATGTACCCCAGAATTTAAGGGGGGGCTTAACAGTTGGCTGTAACTTGTTTTTTATTATCCTTTATTAAAATATTATTAAAATACAAGTTAAGTGTCCCTACCTTTTTAATACCAACTGGTACATTAATAATAGGGTGCTTTTACAGGGTCATTAATCAAGATTATTTTGCTTGTTCTTGTTAATGTGGGGGTGGTTTTGTTTCGGTTAAAATCTTCGCGGTCTTGCTGTGTAAATAAATCCACCAAGATGAGAACTTCACTGATACTTAGGTAATTTGAACAATAGCTGCAGACCAGCCAGCTTTGTTGGTGAAGATGGGGAGAGCATCCCAGCCTTTGGCGCATCTGCACTTTACATCTCCCTAAAAATACTGCTCAGCATGCAGCGGTAGGACACCCCAGTAGGGAAGGAACAAGCTGCTCCGCTGCCCGTAGAGTTTTTTTCCTCTGGTCAAACTCTGTGGGTCACATTTTCCCATGGAGACAAGGGCTCTTTTTGTTAAGAGATCAGTTTTGCTTTGCTTTATTCCCTGTGAGAACCCTTGTTTAAACAGAAGCACGTCCATCTGGAAGTCCAGGTGTCCAGCTGAGATTGCACGGGCAGGCTGCAGGCAGGGACCGCCCCGCACAGGGTGGCCAGGCTGGGAACTTGCCAAGAAAAACTGCTTTTTGACATTGCGTGGCGTCATATCAGAACCCCATTTGCTGCCTTCAGGTTTGGATCCCTGCATCACTGGAGCTGAAGTGTGCAGTGAATTACATCTGTCGTGACCCGCCCATATAACTCAGTCTGCACATCTTGACTCCCGTGTACACTGCAAACAGTCTTCAGTTACTGTTACATTTGGTACTAAACAGAACAGAGAATTCCTTTCTTCCAGATTTTCAGCTGCACTGAAACATTCAATCCTGTATTTCAGGCATATTTAAATCAGTGTTTAAGTTGTCTCAGGCATTTGTCTTCACTACCTTTTATGTTCACATGAAACTCAGAGGAAATTTTCCTTATAACTCCACTATTTAAAATTGCAGGGGAAATGGCCTCCCTGGTGGCACAAGGGGTTAAGTTGCAGCACTGTGATGTTCTCCACAGCCAAGTGACCCACATGGCCCAGCAGGCCCCTCCTGTCTCCCCACTGCTCTCCTCAGCCGTGAATTTCAGTTGATCTGCCTGTCCTGCTCCCCCCCCCCAGCTCTGGCCTGTACCCCAGTTCTTGTATGAATGAATAAACAAAGCTTTAAAAAGGAAAATTAAGGAAAAACTGGGCCTTCCTGATGGCCTACGGCTTGACAGGGCTTCACGACCTCTGCCCCTTGCCCTCTCATGTCTGGCTCCAGCTGTAGGTTTCAGTAAAATCATCTGTTTGCTCCCCACTGTCTCTGGTGAATCCTCTCATGTCCACCCACTCCACCTCTGCTCTACACCCCAGTTTTACACAAAAAATAAAAGTCTGGAAAAAACTCTTAATGATGGCTAGAGTGTTAAGTGAAGACAAATCTGTGTTTCATTAATTTTTATTTCTTACAAAGTTGAGCTAGAGTAAATGTTAACCATTGTCCCCGGGCCTGCACTGGAACTATGGGACAATGACGACACCGTGCCCCAAGCCACTCAGCAGACTTTCCCCCGTGGAGAGCAGCATTCTCGTGGCATCTTCCTAGGCTCTGTGGTTTCGGCGGACACTGCAACTACTTTCTAGAAACTAGACATCCAGACCGGAGCTGCGATGCTTAGGACTAGAGAAATTTGCTACTTTTATTAAAAAAAAAAATCCTAAATGTTCTGAAAAAGTAGCATTAAATATTTTTAACTGCATAAAAGGATCATTTTTTAAAAAGTTTTTATTTTGGGCTCTCCCTGGTGGCGCACGAGTTAGAGCACCACATTATGAAGCTCTCTGAAGCTGCTGCAGCACGAGATCGATCCCCGGCCAGGGAGTGACCCACATGGCGCGGCAGACCTCTCCTGGCCCGCCCGCTGCTTTCCTCAGCAGTGAATCCTCTCACCCACCACACCTCTGGCCTATACCCAGTTCTCTATGCATACATAAATAAATCTTTTTTTAAAAAATAGTTTTTATTTTTGTGCTGAAGAGCTGGGTACTCCCAGAAGTGCATGAAGCGAGATTATTCACCAGTGTGGAGAGCAGAACAGGTGGGTGTACTGAAATCCACCGCGGAGGGGAGCGGGGTGACACAGGAGAGGTCTGCTGCGCTGACGTGGGTCGGCTCCAGTCTGGGGATCCAAGCCGAGCTGGCACAGTGTAGCACCGAGACCGAACCCCGAAGCCACCAAGGGAGGCCTATGAAAGAATCATAATTCATGGAAGGTATTTCACCACAGATAGCCATGGGCTGAAATGTTTATTTTAGTTAAAACTTCTTAAGGGTGTTTTGTTATTTTAAATATTCTGTCAAGTCAAAAATTCTTAATTACTTGAACCCCACTTTCCTTGTGAAATTCAGTGTCATAAATTTCCTAAATACGCATTACAATTAATGTAAAAATACATAGACTGACAAGTGGCTTTGGTGAATAGTGACTGAGCATTACGGGCAAAAAACCACTACTCTCCACTTCTCATAGGCACTAGAAGAAGTGTAGCTAAATTTATAAATAAATAGAAGTGGTAACTAATATTACTGATGATTATTGTTGCTCTTAATATTAGCTGTAATGTGATTTTTTAAAAAGATTTATGCATACAAGAACTGGGGTACAGGCCAGAGGGAGGGGGCTGGCAGTGAGAGGGTTCCCCAGAGACAACAGGGAGCAGAACAGACGGAAGTACTGGAATACACTGCTGAGGGGAGCAGCAGACGGCTCAGGGGAGTCTGCCCTGTGGGTCACTCCCTGGGCAGGAATCAAACTGACTGCAGTGGCTGAGGACAGCTTCAGAGCGCTGCGCTTTAACCCTTGCGCGGCCAGGGAGGCCTGTAATGTGACTTGTCGTGATTGTACTACTTTTTTCAAAAGCTGATAAGTGAGATATTTTATTGTATAGCTACACACTAAAACTCATTTATCCCTAAATAAAGGAAATAAAAGCTTGAACTTAATACCTTCTGATGAATAAAATAAGATCATTCTTTCTCAACCTTATCTAGTAGGAAAAGGGCATATTAAGGGTGAAGAAATGGTGCCATTTGCAAATATGGTTAATAAATACTCTCAGGCATAGTCATTTGCCACTCAGGTACCGCTTAAATACTGTTCTCGGTCCAGGAAAGGGATGATGTCAGCCACCCCAGAGTTAGTAAGCAGGAAGCGGACATGTGGGTCCAGAGGCCAGCCGGCTGCTCGCTCACTCTGGGATCATACACATGTCACCGAATTGCCTCTGAGCCCTTATCAGTGAAAACACACCTGGGCCTCCCTCGTGGGTTAGAGCAGCACTGTGAGGCCACTCAGCCGCTGGCCTGACTCAATCCTCGGCAGGGAGCTGAACCCACAGGGCGCAGCAGACCTCTCCTGTCTCCCCGCAGCTCCCCTCAGCCGTGTGTTTTAGTCAGTCTGCCTGTTCTGCTCCTCACGCTGTCTCTGGTGAATCCTCTCATTGCCCCTGCACCTCTGGCTTGTACCCCAGTTCTGTATGCATAAATAAACAAAAATTTTTTTTAAAAAAAGAAAACATATCTGTCCTCAAAGTCTGTTGGCAAGATTTTAAGTTAACATGTGTGAGACAAATTCTGAAATTGAGTCACCTTTAAGCTAAAAACATAGTGAAAGAGGGGGAAAGACCTTTTCAGGCACAGAAATAGAGATCTATTTTCTCAAGGCAGCGAGAGCAGGTGGGGAGAGAGAACAGAGGATGGGTAGCTATTGAGCAAAGGCCACCTCCTCCCTCCATCTTGAAACTGGCTGCCCTCTACTTCGTCAAGAAAATATCGCTGCCGTCCTTAGTGGTACAACCGGATGAAGCACAGCACTACGAAGCTCGCTGCAGCTGCTTCAATGCAAGTTCAATCCCCAGCCCCAGAGGTGACCCACTTGGTGCAGCAGACCTCTCTCCCAACCTGCCTGCTGCTCCCCTCAGCAGTGTGATTCATCAGTCTGCCTGTTCTGCTCCCCACTCTGTCTCTGGTGAAGCCTCCCACCATCCCTGCACTTCTGGCCTGTACCCCAATAACTATATGTATAAATAAATAAATCTTAAAAAAGAAAATGTCTGAATAGTCAGCTTTCCCGAGGCCGGGCCAACCTGCCTCCATAGGTGACTGCTGATCTGTCGCCTGAAGAATTCCATGTCACCATCCATTTCATCAATGCTGAACTGTTTTTCTCATCCTCAGATGTGAACTGACCTTTCGGGTTGAGATTGTACTCTTTGGTCGACTTCCTGCTTGGACAGCAGCAGGTCTTAGCTCCTCTGTCCTGTTTCCATACCCTCTTCTTTAACTGATTCATTCTTTTAAAAAAAAAATTATTTATACAGGACAGGTACAGGCCAGAGGTGCAGGGACAGGGCGGTGAGAGGGTTCACCAGAGTGGGGAGCAGAACAGGCAGATCGACGAAGTCCACTGCTGAGGGAGCAGTGGGTGGGTTAGGAGAGGTCTGCCGCGCCCTGTGGGTCACCTCCGGGGCAGGGATCGAACTTGCACTGAAGCGGCTGCGGCCAGCTTTCAGCGCTGCGCTCTAACCCGCTGCGCCCCAGGGAGGGCCCGGCTGACTGACCTGAAGCAGTCCTTACCTGCCTGCCCTTTTGTTCCTCTGCATTATTTACTTGAAAAATTGAAACGTATCCCAAGTGTACAACCCTTGATTTTGCCTGAAATATGTGAGTCTTCCTGAGTGCCCAAATTCAGGGCCTTTGCTAATTGTGCTTTGGAGAGGATTCTGTTTAGCTATTAAGTGAGCAAATGTCCTGTTACAGCTTTCACACCTCTCCTCTGGTGGTTTTCTTTAGAAACACCTATTCATTAGTTAATTTTCCATGATTAGCACTTTTTGTTATTTTCTAATTTTCAGTGCTTTTCCCTCTACCCCAGGATTGCTTTGCAAATTTATATCTAAACTTTCTACTTGCTACCGCTCTGATTAAAAGCTGCTTTCTGCAGCCTCCAGCTTGGCCTTTATCT